CAGAGTTAGAGCTGATGGAAGTGCACTTCTCTAAAGTTTTGCCATAAAGGTCTCTCCACAGCGTGCTGCTTTTAAAATATTAATAGTAATATCCACTGGTTATTTTTTACATTTCTGTGTCTGTCGATAAAACATTTTATTAGGGAACATCAGTGCATCAGGCTCTCTCTGTTGGCCTAATACACAGTGTTACTTTTGAATAAAAGGCAGTCTCTTCAAAAAAAGCAGAGCTTGGTTTCTTGGTAAAGCCTTAAGTTAGCAGTGCAGTGCAGTGGGCTTCAAAGGTCTGAGACCACATTCGAATCACATTTAAACCTGGAAATAAACAGAACTTCTGCACTATTTCTTGGCCACTGATCAAAATAGCCAAATTCTGAAATGCATGTTAGATTTTCAAATAAATTTTTTACTCCTATGTTTATGCTAGAAGGATATTTTATATTTTAAATTAGTGGTCTAAGACTTTTTAAATACAGTTTTCACTTCACATTTTTATGCAGAAATGTACATTTATATGCAGAATAGAAGCATTCACTAGTGGTCCTAGACTTATTTTAACTCATATTTTATTCAGAAATTATGATTTATAATAGAAAAAAAAAAAAAAAATTTAAAAGAGGTAAAAAAAAAAAAAGGAAGGATCCTCTAGTGGTCTGATTTTTCACTTTACATTTTTATGCCGAAATGTACATATGTATGCAGAGTAGAAACATTCACTGGCGGTTTTAGACTTCTTTTTGCTTTTAAAATACATTTTCACTCACATTTTTATGCAGAAATGATAATTTATAATGAAAAAAATGTTAAATTAAATGAGAAAAAGAAGCATTCTCTAGCGCTCTAAGAATTTTAGAACACACTTTAAGTATTAACTAATCTGTATGGCACATTTCCCAAGAGCTTTGTGTAAAATGTAAATATAATGTGTGAAAACCACTTGTAAATTCATTGCCTGGATATTTCTCGGTTCTTGTCCAGTTTATCAGAGACAAGGTACACAAAATAGCCTATACTAATTAATTCAAAGCCAGTGTAGGCCTACACTAAAAAAAAGAGTTGTGAAACAAAACAGTTGGTGCATGTTACGTAATAGGCATGAATTTACATAAGACACACACTAATACAATTTTATCTAGGCCTGTTTTGATAAGCTTAACTAACTGTTTACATTTGAGGTTTGTTATTTTCTTAAGAATTAATTGAATATTTTAAATGTAATATGATAATTAATGTTTACTATGTTGCTTAATGCCAGTCACAAACAAATCATTGTTGTAAGTCTATTCTGTGCATGTGTTAAGTTCCTAACAAAAGGAGCACAACTTTAAGCTGCCGAGCCACTTACAGTATAAAGAGCCACATTGCGTGTAATCACATTTGTTTTGCCACTTTCATTCATTTCTTTGTTGTTGAACATGTAAACCCAGTCTTTCCAAAGCCCAAATTATTTATTTTTTTATTATTCTACAGTTGACAAGATTACATAAAATGCCCACTTTTTAATGTATTTTCACCCTATTTTCTGTTTTGAAGACATACAGGAAATAATGTTGTAAATAATGTTCAGTTTCTTGCACACACTGATTGTTTTACCGTCAGGAGCTGCAAGCCTTAATTTTGTGTTTTCTGTTTCAGCTTTTTTGACTCTCAAAGTGATGACTTGCATTTTCTGAACCGTCAAGGACCATGGGCTCATCTAAAAATCATCTTTATAGTTCAGCTCAAGAAGGAAAGTCACCTACATCTTGGATGGCCCGAGGGTGAGTAAATTAACAAAAAATTTTCATTACTGGGTGAACTATTACTTTAAGTACAGTAACATTTGACTAAATGTTAGGCAGACCTTTTTGGCAGACAAAAAATGTCAATGGTATATTGGTAATAGTGTAGCAATGCATAAAGCACCATTCACACAGAAGTCACATTCAAATTAAGCGAATGTCTATTGGTATACATTGCAAATCCGCAAAAAAAAAAAAACGCGTGATATTTGCATGGGGAAATCTTTTGCCCTCATGTGAAATTTCCAATCACATGGATTCGTAATAGAATTAAAACAACAGTAAATGTGACCACACAATATTTTAACACTTTGACTGTTTTCATAAAGCTGCATATAACACTGGCCGGCAGACCATCTTACAAAATTATAAAAGGAATTCAAAGGCTATTTGCAGTTCTTAATGGCTGTATAGTCATTGATTTCTGATTGTCTGAAAACTTAATACATCTCCATGGGATGGTTCCTCATAAATTTTCAAACAAAGGAGTCTTCATTCCTGCATAAGCCATACATTTAAAACCTTCATGCCTTCTTCATGGCTGAGCCATTTCCCTTTGACACCATCCCACAAATGTGCCGTATTGATTATCGCATCACTTTCTGACTGTTTCAGCTATGATAGCAAAGACCTAAATTGATCGTAAGAACTGCCTTAAATATCAACCATTTTAGCTTTTAGATGTGCTTTTTTTCCACTTCATATCTGAAACGGTTTTGTATTGCACCATGTCATATTATACTTTATGGAAAGCAGTTAACAAAGACAAATTACCCCTGAAGTTGTGATCTTATACCTCCATTGCGTCAGATGTCTCTGCGAAGATTGTGTCTTAATATAGAAATAGAGGCTACTGAGTAACTTAAGTAAGGTATCTTTTTGTTATAACGTTTGGTGTATTTTGTGATTGCTGGCAGGTGATGTTTGTTTTTTCATTTTTCTATAATGTTTTTTATGGCTTGCTAATCCAGAATACTCAATCAAGGTAAACTCAGCACACCTGAAACGAGGATAGGTGCATGGGAACAAAATCAAACAAAAAGTTGAATCAAAAATAAATAACGAACCCGCACACTATCAATACTTGCTAATTCTTAAACTTTATTAAACGCAACGTTTCGGTCCACTGACCTTCATCAGGCAAATGTATAGAATTAAAAACAAGACATAATTATATACTTTCACAATCAATGAGTATAATTGACAATCACATGTGGACTAATTACAAACACATGCGTAATCGATACCAATGGCTCAAGTATACAATAGAAGACACTTTACAACATCCCCAATGAAAAATATATCATTATTCACATACAAAAATAATGTTTATAAAATCACAATTGGTTATCAGAAACCGCACATCTTAACAAGGTTTTAATATCATCCCCATATTTTTAATCACACTGTTACTTAGATATACAGCAAACACACTTTACATCATTATATTAAATAATGCCTCATCATTTAACCCTAAGGGTGATAAAGTTTGCAAAGTTACAATCCATATCTGTTCTCGTCTTAATAAAAGGGTCTCGATATCGCCACTTCTTGGTGGAACAGACACCTTTTCAATTCCCAAGAAACGTAGAGCAGACACATCATGATTTAAAGAAATGAAATGTGCAGCAACTGTATATGACATATCCTTTCTCCTATTAGAATTCAGAATTTAGGCTAATGCAGAATAAAATGAGTATGAAACAAGTCTTATGGTTGAACAGTATCATCCCACTCTTAAGAAAGAGACCTGTATCATCTTGCCTTGTCCCGAAATGTTCAAACACTAGTAATTGTTTATTGTATTGTATAAAAATGTATGAAAGGCTCTGTAATGTGCTCATTCAAAGAAAAATGGGTGTTGTGAAAAACAAAACAAAACAAAACCAAATAAAATACTAATGTCCAAAAATGTACAAAAGCTTTTTTTCTGAAAGCCCCAAGTTAGTTAGTAAAATTCAATTCAATTCAGTTCAGTTCAATTCAAGTTTATTTGTATAGAGCTTTTCACGATACAAATAGTTGCAAAGCAGCTTTACAGAAAATGAAGTTTCTACAATATATTTAGTAGTAGCTTATCAGTGGTGACTATCTCAAATTGATGTACATATGGCAGAAATGTACGGTAAAATTCAGTTAATGACGTAATCAAACAGACGATGAACACTATTAACAGCAATAATTATATGTTGCAATCAAACTTGTAGAAAAAATTGGTAGTTCGACTTTGCTATCCTAGGTACTACCAAAAGTCCAGAGTTTGTGACCTTAGGGAGCATGATGGATTGTTGCTTGGTAGAAGACTAGTTAGGTATGCAGCAGCTAAACCATTAAGGGCCTTGTAGGTAAGTAATAATATTTTGTAACTGATACAGAACTTAATAGGTAGCCAGTTAAGGGCTGGATCCAGACTGAAGCTTGTGTAATTCCTAGATGTCAATCCCGTGGCAGAAACAAATAGAGACATAATTAGCATAGCTGCTGTTCCAACCAAACAAAAATGATTTGATCAACCCAAGCTAAGGAATAATAATGTACGTTTGATCAGATATAACTGCAGTACAAGATTATGAGATGCATTATTTGAATGCTTGGCCAAAGAGATGTAATCTTATGGTTGAGTATCATCAACATAATGGAAACTAATTCCGTATTTTCGAATAATATTACCAAGCGGCAACATGTATATTGAAAATAGCAGAGGACCTAGGACAGATCCTAGGAGGAGCAAAATTTAGCAGACACAATTTTTCTAAAATGTTAGACAAATGGAAAATTTGAAATGGGTCTGTAATTTGCCAGTTCATTAGGATCTAGTTGTGGTTTCTTAATAAGAGGCTTAATAACTGCCAGCTTGAATGGTTTTGGGACGTGACCTAAAAACAACGACGAGTTAATAATATTGAGAAGCGGTTCTTCTGCTACAGGTAACAACTCTTGAAGTAATTTAGTGGGTACAGGATCTAATAGTCATGTTGTTGGTTTAGATGCAGGGATAAGTTTATTTAACTCTTCCTGTCCTATATTTGTAAAGCACTGCAGTTTTTCTTTGGGTGCGATGAATGAAGCTGAAGTACTAGATGCTGTAGAATCTAAATTTGTTATTGTATTTCTGATGTTATTTACTTTATCACTAAAGAAATTCATAAAGCCATTACTATTAAACTGTAAGGGGATATTTAGATCGGGTGGCGTCTGGTTATTTGTTAATCTAGCCACTGTGCTAAATAAAAACCTTGGATTGTTTTGGTTGTTTTCTATGAGTTTGCGGATATGCTCGGTCAGTATGCTGGACATACTGTTTTTCTATGCAATTCTAAAAAATTCCAAGTTAGTTTTTGTCCATTTGCGCTCAAGATTACGAGTTTCTTTCTTGAGAGAATGAGTAATAGTGTTGTACCATGGCGCAGTATGTTTTTGTCTAACCTTTCTCAATTTGATGGGGGCAACAGCTTCTAATGTATTAGAGAAGATAGTGCCCATGTTGCTAGTCATTTCGTCTAGTTCATATGTGTTTATGGGTACACAGACCAGTTGAGATAATTCAGGCAGATTATTTGTGAATCTGTCTTTGGTGGCTGGAACAATAGTCATATAGTTAATATCAGTAATACGCTGCATGCGCGATACAAGGAAATGGTCAGTAGCGTCATCACTTTAAGGTATGATATCTATATCAGTAAGATCGATTCCATGCAATTTAATTAAATCTAGCGTATAATTAAAACGATGAGTGGGCTCGGTGACGTTTTGCTTGACTCCAAAAGAGTTTATTAGGTCAGTAAAGTCCTAATGCATCATTTGTATTATCAACGTGAAAGTCTCCAGCAATTAGCACTTTACAAACAATGACATCTTTTTTTCCATTTTTCCAAACTCTGTTCAAAACTTTGTTTTTTAGCCTTTTGCTATGTGGTTAGAGGAAATCTGCAAATTCTTTTAGGAAATCTGTATATGACCCTGGCAGTTTATACACAGTAGCCAGAGCAAGAGATAGGAGAGATCTCTTTTGCATATCTGACAGTGTAACATTAAGCAGAAGTAATTCGAATGAGTTAAACCCATATCCTGTTTTTTTGGGTAACATTGAGAATATCACTATATATTGTTGCAACACTGCCGCCACGACCAGTTTGACGGGGCTCATGCTTATGACAGTAGCTTGGTGGAGTAGACTCATTTAGACCAATATAATCATTTGGTTTTAGCCAGGTTTCAGTCAAGCAGA